GCGCCCTGTCTGTATCCGTAGAGAGACCTTTCCGTAGCCTTCGATTTGGAGCTTCGTATCGCCTGCGAAGGCCTCGTCTGGAAGGTCTCTCTACGGATACAGACAGGGCTCTTCCAGCTAGAACAAGTAGCCTTTATTCCGACCTTCCATACAAATGTAGCCTCGTTAGACCGCTTTCTAGAAAAGGGCTATAATTGGAACCCGGCCACAAGAGCTGTATCAAAGGACAATTCCACGCTTCAATCTGCTTCCATAGCTGTCAACGTGATACAAGGGAACTATTTTACCGCAGTGAGTGGCACTAAGCGCTCTACAGTTGTGCATTCTCGACGATACCCATCCCGCCCCAGGTGTGTGTGAATATGAGCCGGTTGATAATGAGGGCATTAGCCTACACGAACCTTGCAGCATTGATGTCGTCCCAGTAAGATTGATTATGAATTTGCGTCTTCAAATGGTCAGAGACCTGACTGGACGCAGTGTATAAATACCGGCAACGTCTGCTTCTACGTGGACGGAGACGGCGATGCCTCCTGCTCCTAGGTTAAGACTTGCCTGTACAATTTGGCTCAGGTGCATCGCAGGCATCTGATGGAGTAGAGGAAATGAATCAAAGTATCATGTAAATGGGGGCGAGGAAACTTTTCTACAGGGACGTATGTAGATACATAATTAGAAAGTCTCTGCCTCCTAGAAGCGACCAGCAGCTTGTTTCCTCGTCCATGTCAAGGATTCCTTGACAAGGATTGCCCGCCCTTGGAAGCGAACCATGTCAACTCGTTCCCCGTACGACTGCCCCAGAGAATTACGCAATCATATAGAGTGAGCCATGTGATAAAGATAGGTCTGCCCCGCCGTTTGCCTACACCAGACGTCCATTCACCGTTTGCACGCATAATGCAAGCGCACCAAACGACCCGAGACTGACACCCTTCTCGATTCGTTACGCCGACACAACTCGGAAGCTTTGCTCAAATTTGCTCTACTTACAAGTATATCCGGTCCAAATATGTACCATGCGGGTTCTTACCGATCCGGCACAGGAAGAAACACGGGAAATGGACCAGGCTACCCAGAGACTTCAGCGTCGGGTTGATTTCAGCGGAATCGCTTCAGGGTCAGTGTTGATGAATCGTCCATCGAGGCGACTCAAACCTACGTAATCAAGCTCGCATGTTGATTCGCTCCATTACCGATCGCTTTGTGAATTTCAACCGCGAGGTTGCCGTCCTCGACGTCTGTGAAACGAGGGTCCTTGAAGTAAAAGGGCTCCTGGAGAGCGCAGTCGGCTACATGACCGCCGGTGGCAAGACCAGG